CGTTTTTACTTGAAATTTGCAAGAAGTCAGTTATTTTTACTTAAATTTATGGCCAGCAGCAAACCTGAAGTTCCTGGGGTGAAATAACACCTTACCACAGCTTTTTAAATATTGTTTCTTGCTTGTATATAATCATTTTTTGGTGATGATACTATCAGTGAACAAGGAACATGTTAAAGATCACTTCAGCTTGTTGTCTTTCAGGAGATAAACCCCGGTAAATGTCCATAGTCTTGATGACAGTTACCACCAACAGAGCATGAGGTTTGAGGTGCTCTGTCCTTTGTATGACCACATAAGGACCACTTTAGCTTACTGTCCTACAGGAGGAAATCCCCGAGAAATGTCCCAACTCCTTGGTAGTTGTTAACTGCCTGCAAATGCAGGGGTTGAAAGACTTTGTTCTTTGTGTTACCTGATAACAGTATAACAGCTACGGATAACCTAGATGACAGGTGGTAAACCTTCTTTGGCCTTTTCGGCTCATGACTAAAGAACATCGTAAAATTCTATAAGTAGAATACTGTCAATGTAAAGGCCACATGAAATGAAATGTTTGACCACTTGTTTGAGACCCCTGGCATAGATGTGATCACATTGTATAGAGTCAGTGATAATTAGTCTTTATATATTCCATTAAATATGTATTGTATCAAAATATGTTTAAAGTAAAATTTGTATGGGTTGAAGAGATTTGTATTTTATATTGTGCTCGGATTTTCAACACGATAAGCTGCTTTTAAGAAAATCAGTGAAGTACAGCATGTTCTTTATGTTAAGCAAGGTTTGTATGAGAACAATGGGAATAAAAATTAAATTTATTCACCAACTTTCAGCATCCTTCTGATTGCTGGGATCCCAGACATTGTCCATCATAGTATTCCAGAAGAACACAATGTGTCAGAAACTGGATCATCGTACGTCTTTAGGTTAAAAGGTGGGAAGCCACCTGCTCAGTTTATTCCATTAGAGAGAGCTAATGTCAGTCTTTGACATAGTGATTGAGATTAGTTCTTTTTAACACACCCAACTGAGTAAGTGCCTCCCTGCCATTTCACCCGAGGATGGATACAAATCTAGTTTCTTAAACAAATAACTTCCATTGTCAGTCCTGAATTTTGAGTTTATCAAATTCCATCGGGTAGCTTTAGAGATGAAACATGTGAAAGGATGGACAGACACAGATGTTCCATTATGCATTCACTTTATGCACTTTGTACAAAGAATTCGTAAAACTATGCAGATTAAAATATGTACGACTTTAAGCTTATCTGTGTTTCACAAGTGTGAAACTTTGTCTCACCCTGAGAAAAAAGCATTGATGAGACTGTTACAGAATAAAGTAATTAGAGATATCTGGACCTGAGAGGGAGATGAATTGGAGAATGTAGAAAATTTCATACTTTGGACTAAAGATATGCCCACAATATTTTCATTGGAAAATATCAAGGGAACATATCACCTATGAGCCATAGTAATGAATGGAAGACAACATTAAAATGTATCTTAGATAAGTAGAGAAGCTATGATAATTTCATTGTCAAATCACAGCGCCAGTATTGTGTGAAGAGCCATGTGACATCTGGGTATTCCAGATTTAGGATAAACACGTCAAGTTGTCCATAAATTTTTATTACTTTTGATGGTCCCCAAAAATGTGATCAGCTTGCAGAAGGGTTTATTACATCCATTTAACTGCATAGTCTGTTAGTGCAAAGTTTTAGTTCAGTAAGGAAACTTAACACTTTCAAGTGTCCGCAGTTAATTTTTAAATCATGGTCCATTGAAGTGCTGGTCAGTCTTAAGAAGAAGTAATTAACATAATTAGGATATAAAATCAAAATTAAAAATATATTTGTCATATTTATCCCATCAACTGATTTTTTCTATTTTCTATTCTGTTAGTGTTGAAGATAATGTATTTAAAATGAGTATTAAAGATAATGTGTTTAAAATGTAGATTTTCTCTTGCAGAATGCTGAGTCTTCTGATAATGTACACCTCATCTATAATGGTAGTACTGTAGAGACACTTCTTCAACAGTCATCAGAGGTAGGGGTAATTTATTATTTATTTCAGTCACCAAAATTTATGTGTATAAGTACACTTTATTATAATGGGCGTTCAATGATGGAGGAAACCTGGCAACAGCATAGAGCAGACACAGCATTTCTCACTGATTGCTGCTATAACTGCCGATAGCAGAATGAGTCATTAGACTTGATAAACACATGCCGACAGGTGGTCTGATCTTGTCACTGCAGTAAATCCCATTAACAGTCAGTCTTTGTTAGAGGTGTCGATAGGTGGTCAACATTTATACTGAAATGAAGTTCACTGTTGAACAGCATGTGTTTATTGTTGAAACGTTTGCAAGGGAAAAACTTACAGAAAGTGTATCCGTAAGTTTTGTCGTAATTATCCTGACTCACATTTCCCACAAAGTTGTGTGTATCCGTGAAAAGTGGAGGGCCGCAGGTTCAGTATGTGACATAAAGAAGCAATCAAAAAGGATTGTGCTGATTGAAGAAAAGTTTTGGGATATTGAGGCATGACTACAGATCAGTCCTCAAAAATCGTTAAGACACTTAGCAGAGGAAACCGGTGTTTGGCTAGGATCTGCTTTCACAGCCACAAAATTAATCAAATTTTTCCCGTATAAAAATAACAGTTGTGCATGAGCTGAAACAACCAGATTATGCAGCAAGATTTTACAACTGGCTGCTGCAAAATGTGCGCTATGGAATCGTGGATCCACAGCTTCTGTTTATGCCTGGTGAAGCATGGTTTCACATTAGTGTCCGTGTCAAAGCACAGAATGTAGGAATACGGAGTGATGAAAATCCTCAAGCTGTACAGCAAGTGCCATTACATATTGAAAAGGTGGGGGTGTGGTGTGCTGTAAGTCCTTGGCGCATCATTTGCCCCTCATTTTTCCATGAAACCATGAACTCTGATCGCTATGTTAATGATATACTGAATCCATTCTTCAATCAACTGACTGCTGAAGGAAGGCAGTATGGGTATTTTCAGCAAGACAGCGCTACAGCACATATGGCTAATGCAACCATGGTCGCAACACGGGAAGTGTTTGAAGACAGAATAATCAGCAGAAGACTGTGGCCTCCCAGATCTCAGTTTTTGCAATTTTTATCTTTGGGGAAACCTGAAGGGAAAAGTCTACCAAAATAATTCTTGCAGCATTGAAGCTCTGCAGAATGAAATAACACACGTAATTGGTTCAATTACCCTGGACCAACTTCAGAAAGTGTCGCATAATTTATTTATGCAGTGCGAGGCATGTTTGCAAGCAGAAAGTGGTCACTTCCAGCACCTGTTATAAAGCATGGTAAGTTTGTGTTATCTTGTTTATTGGCCAATCTCCTCTACACTTACAAGCACGATTATTATTCACTTATAATTTTGTCACTCTTTTCTTGCAACACTGTTATAATTACTGCTTCTGCTATAGTCGAAGCCAAGCTGCAAACTTCCACAACTCAACTAACTGTCTGGTACTTTCAGCCCCCTTAAATAGGCCAGTATTGTGTCAGGGGGGAGAAATGCAAGGTTAATTGGAGGGCATACACTATAAAATGCATGTCATAAAGAAATGGAATATTATCAGATAACATTTCTTCATTTTTCTAATGAAGACACACTTACAAATTGAAGGGGTGGTGATTAATTTCATTATTGTGTTATTACAGGAAGTAGAAAGGCGGTTTGGAGTGGAAATGGCATCTGATTCAGTGATTCACTTGGTAGAGAACTTGGATACCAGCAGTGACACCAGTGGGCAGCATGTGACACAGAGTGTGGAGACACTTTGTGTGGCCAACATTGAAACAGTAACAGAGGTAGTACCTATGTGCTTTGTGAGCAGTATAGTAAATATTTCAGATGTTACTGTGAACCATATTTACATCAGAGTACCATATTTATTAACAATTAAGATGAGTTATTCTAACTTAGCATTAAAGATAATGTGACATGACATCTGAAAGTCAGAATAGTGGAGCCAGACATGTTCATTGCTAGGCAACTACTTTGTGAACACGTTTTCCACAATTCCCAACACTGGAACTGCTATTGAGAGACAGTGTTATCTATGGGTTTGCCCTGAGGTTGTATAAGGAGGATCTCAGGCAGCTGAGTGAAGTGAGGGAGTCTTTTGAGTTGGCAGTTGAAGGTGTTGGAGAAGAGAAGACATAGTGTTTGTGAAGTGTTGTAACAAGTTGTATAAGTGTGCAGTAAATCTGGTCATCAATCCAAAACCCACCTGTATGTCATGAACACCCAAAAATATGTGACATTTTAGCATCAGAAGTGGGATTGGATTGATCTTCTAATTGGGTTTGAGATTGCAGCTGATATTTGTGTCAACACTACAAAGGTGGGGCAGATAATGGCTGAAATGAAGGCCATATTGAAAGCCCATCAAGAAGGGATAATGGCCATAATAAAGACTGACCTAGAAGAAATGAAATCCTTAGCAGTGCATGATGATGTCCCTAAGGAAGAGGCCGCAGTGAAACCTGTTAGAACAGTGAAGAAGCAGCATAAGGGCCAGCATCTAGCCACAGGGTGCCATGGAAAGCCAAAGGAACAGACCTGGGGCTGTGGTGGGTCCCAGAAGAAATTGGCCACCACCCTCAGAGAGATAACCTGTCATGCAGGAGTAACATGGTATACAGGATGCAGTCCTAAAGGACCAATGGTTGTGCAGAGGCAACGGAAAACGTGGACCAGGGATGGTGTTGTACAGGGAAGCTGTAAAGGATGGACATTTGGGAGGAGGCGTTGGGCACATCTGGAATGCAGTAACAGCATGAGGGACTGAGACATTGAGGAGTAAGTATGTCCATGCATCGTGAAAACCTTGTATGAGGCCCATGGACAAACTCGCCCTGGATATCATGAGACAAACAGTGGGGTTTTTGTCAGGATACTAAAAATGTGTAACTGGACATTGTGGAGGGGTTGGCTCCCTCTGAAACGAAAGAAGAGCATACTAGCAGTCTATGAATGAGAATTGTAGGACCATTCACCACTTTGTAACTTTTGGCTGCACAAACTGGAGGATGAGGGTGCTAAAAATTGGACTCACAGGCACCCTATTAGAGAACTACTAGGGATGAGCGGCTTTAAGGCAGGAGCAGCGGGAGTGGATGGAGAGTAAAAACTGTGGAAAAGCCTAGCCATGGGAAGGAAGTTGAGACCAATCATAGACATTGCAAGCACAGTCCTCAGAAAAGAAGAAATGGTGGTACTCCTGTTCGCCATTTGGGACAGATAGGTTTACGGATAAAGCAATTGGACATGATGCATGAAATCCAGAATGGTGGAGCCAGCGAAGATGTCCATTACTAAGAAACTGCTTGGTAAACACTTTTCCATGACAACACGCAGCAATGGAACTGTTATTAAGAGTCAGTGTTTACTGTGGGTCCACCCCAAGACTATACAACGAGGATCTCGGGCAACTGAGACAAGAAGTGAGGCAGCAGTGGAAAGTGATGGAGAAGAGAAGGCATAGTTTGTGAAGTGTAATAACGAGTTGTGTAAATGTGCAGTAAATCTGGTCATCAACGCAAAACCCATCCATAAGTCATGCACACCCAGAAATATGTGACAAGATTAAAAATGCTCATAAACTAAATACTCTTCTAGCATAAATATTTTTCCAGTATACATTTTCAAAATCAGTGCTATTGCTGTGCAATGAAGGAGTATTTGATGCCTAGACTGAGCTGTTATGTAGGTCTTAGCATATTGCTCATATACCGTTATGATAAATTATAGTGAATGCATTTAACCTTTATCATACAGTACAGTTAATTTCCTTTTTTTTACCCATGGCCCAGAAGTTTTGAATTTAAATTCTTAGGTCTTCAGCAGGTCATCATCTAAGTTACATATAACATATTGTGACGTGGATCGCGCAACAGGAAGTAGGGGTCACGTGAACTCTGCGTTCTCACCAGTGACGTCACATACCCCCACTCCTTCCACCATTACGCAACGCTCAGTAAACATTCCTCCCCGCTAGGCTGTGACATCATGCAACAGGGGAGCCCGTGCAGCGACTGTTGCTAGGCAATCGGTAAACATGACATTACACTACAGTGGTACCTATCACGTAACTGTTTTCTTTGTTGTCCATGCCAAGCCTAAATAAGGAGCAGTGAACACTATTCAGTAGTGAGTGAGTGAGTGAGTGAGTAGTGAGTATTGAGTAACCAGTCAGTTGCAGTCTAGCATTCGCTGGAGTGAATGGAAGCAGGAGAAGTAATTGTGATACTGCCGATGGCAGTTATTGTGTAATTGTGAATTGTATGAATGTACGAGCGAACGTGCAATAAATTCGCTAGAACAAGATGGCGTGAAGTTATTTGCCGCATGACCTACCCAACACGTGACAATACTTTGAGCTATAATCTTAAAATATACTAGATTGTTAAGAATGAATTTATGTTCCAGTGCAAAATTTCTCTGACTGTTTTCACTTGTTTCATTACTTTTTATGACTCTGTCTGAGAAATGTGCCACAATCTTTAGAACAGCATTGTACATGGTAACAGAACTGTTATACCAAACAGATCTGCTTGGTATGTTGAAACAGCTCTGAGTTGCAGGTAGTGAATAGCAATGTTGGTTAGTCAGACTCTACATAAACATTTCTGTTGATGAATACTAACTTTGTTTAGCTGTTATTAGAATCTGAGCCTTATAAAAACAGTCCTAGCATTTGCTGGCAGTGGTTCTTGATTAGCTCAGTGAAAATAATGGAGTACATTTCCATATTCCCTCATTTTGAGAAAACCAGAAAAAAATACTGTGTACTTCTTTCTTGCTTTTCATCAATATTACAAGTCATTAATTGAAACAGAAGTTCTGGGAAGAACTATTTGCCTACTTTCCTTTGATACAACACAGTCCGCATAGAAAACAAAAAACTGGTGGGATAAATAGACATACAGACAGCAAGGTGATCTCATAAGCCTCCTCCTGTTTTTTCAGAGTTAGGAAAGTAGGCTAAAAGATGATACCAGTGAATATTATCTCATTTTTTAATTGTATGAGTTTGTATCTGAGTCTTGTTTATTATAATTTTATGGTGTTATGCCCATCTTCCACTCAGTGATATTTTTTTATTACTTGGCTGGGCAGGTCATAACATTCACAGAGCACAGTCACAAGTTTAAACGTGGCTTATGGGTGATATATTTTACCTATGAGTGCAAGGTATAAGTATGGCTTCAGAGGGTTAACTTCAAGGACAAGATATCCCATGATAATTTATTGTAGACTCTGATTCTTTCATTCATCTCAAGATGAAGACTTTCACCTTCATGAAGTATAAAGACTGCCTGACATGACTATTTCATCTATTAATTGTGCAAATGGTGCATGACTAGGGACACACACTGAAAGATGACTCTTCCACACTTAAACAAGAAAGATTCTGTGACATGCTGAGATTTATACACTTTACTAGCAACAAAAATTAACATAATGACAAATGGAAATTATAACCATTATGAAAAATGAATTATATTTGGTACACTCAGTGATGTATCTACTAAATGTTGCAGTACATATGAACATCTAGCTGTTGAAGTCATTGTGTTGTTCAGAGGGACAGTCATGTTCAAATATAATATACCAAAGAAACCCAAGTAGTTTGGGATAAAAACCTACACGTCCATTGCCTAGCAATGGATGTCCTCTGTTGTTGTGTATTCATTGGAACGTGTTTACCAAGAATCTTTCTCCGTGGGAAGGTGTTTATTCAGCCGTTGCCTAGCATCAGGTCTGTATGTCACATTGCTACCTCCTTAAAGCTATTTGTCACGAATACCCTACATATGTACTGTCATTTCTTTTCCGATGGCTGTACTTGGTTTCGTCTTCCCGTGCCTCGTTTTATTTTTCCTGTGGTGACTTCTCTCCAACCGCTTCTGCTGCTCCCTCCTTAAGGCTGTTTGTCCTGAGCAGCTCCCTGATAAGGTGTGAGTCAGTCCAGGTGTACAGTCATCATCCTTTTTCCTTTCCAAAGGGTGGGAGCAAAACTACCCAGAGTGGCTAGTGCTCCAACATTTCCAGCTCCTACTCTGTGTGCAATCTCTTTTTCCATTTCAGAATGGGCCAACCCTTCCACAATGTCCAGCCCCTCATTATTCTTAGTCTTCACTTCACTTTGCAATCTCCAGCCCAGAAATCTTCCTGTAGATCCCACTGGATATCCTCTCTCTCCCAAGATTTAACTGCACCTTGAAGTCTCAATTCCTGGTTCCATTGAGGCCTTTCTGGCATGTCAGTTGTCTCCTCCCGAGTGTCCATCCTTTCTGAGCTCCTACAAAATTGTCCCTGGTCTGATTCTTCCATCCCTGTTCGACTGACGGTCCTTCATGACTGCATCCCTAGCACCATGCACTCCTGCACAGTGTCTCATCCTTCTCTGGTTGGCAGCCAATTTCTTCCAGAACCCACCATTACCCTTGGTCCCTTTCTTTGGCTGGATGCAGTGTCCCCTGCTAGACACTGACCCCTATGCCCCTTCTTCCATTCTCTTACAGGTTTCACTGCGTCATGCTCCTTGGGGAAGTCCCAGTGCTCCGCTCCAAATTGCATCTTTTCTGGATTTGGCTCTGTCTTTTCTGGATAGGCCTCCATCACTTCTTGGCAGGCCATCATCTTTTCTCAACCATCTTCATTGCTTCTATCCAGGCATCCATCTTCTCTTGGATGTCACTAACTGTGGATTTCATTTCCACATAGCCAGATCTTATTTCCTCTTTCATTCCCCCAAAATTTACATTAATCCCTCTTTTGATTGACATCTATCTTCGCTTTG